GCCACTGAATATCCACAATGCAATCCCCACATGCTACCTGCAAGACAGAGATATTTTTAGGCTTTCCAGAAAGAGTTCATTTCAGTTTTTCTGAAAGGTTGTAATTAACCGCAGCAAGCAAAAGAATGTATTTTTTAAAAATAAAAGTGGGGGAAGGAGAGAGAACCAATCAACACCATTTTGTCAGCTGCTTTGGGTAGATGGGTTCATGCCATCCAGGTGGCTAGGGGGAGGGGATGGAGGGGCTGGTGAAGCTCAGTCCAAGTGGATCAAAGCAGAGCCAGGAGCTAAGAGCAAATTCTCTCCCACTGATAACTCTCCTGCAGGGAGGATGGAAACAGCCCTTCCCCTGTTTGTCACTAACGAGGATCCATCTCCCAGAGCGCAGGAGTCCCAGGTCCCTGAGGGAATTGTGCCAGGGGAGAGTAGAACAGCCAAAATGTATTATTGTTGGATATTTTTAGAGTACCAGGGACAGAAGAGCTACAGGGGCTTCAGTTCCTCGTTCCAGCTCTTTCCTCTCCAAGTTGTCCTTCCTTCACCCCCATCCCAACGCACAGAGATGCCTCTGAGCCCCCTTGACTGTATCTCCCTTGATTCATTGCATGGGTCTTGTTTATTTTTATTTATAAGGAGTGATTTTATTCCCAGAAAAGGGACTCAGAGCCACAGATGAGATGGCTTGGGTGAAATGAGCCCCTGGATGAGAGGGTTCAGGGCCCTGCTGGCCTGGAGGGAAGGAGGCAGCACCCTCCAAGGCCTGCAAAGAGAAGGGAAGGTCAGGAGGTCTGAGTTCGGGGCCTGGCTCTGCAGCCAGCCTACCGAGAGCCCAGGAGCCTGAACAGCACACCGGCCAGGCAGCGAGGGAAGGAGGCCTGTCCCCGGTCCTCACCCCCACCGTCATCTCTTCTCTGCTTGCTGCCACCTGGGGTTTTGTGGCTGGTTTGGTAGCAGAACTCTTGGTTCCCACATCACGAGAAGAGATCAAGCAGCACCTGTTCTGTGGGATAGGGAGATGGGAAGGGTCTCCAGAGCCTTGGACAGCATTTTCACCTGCATTCAACCTGTCCTCCCATCCCAGGGCACACTGACTCTGCCACCCCACTGGACACTCCACCAAGTGTCCAAGGACACAGAGGCTGTGACTCTGCTGGGGGCCCCATCTGGGAGATTCTAGTGACTGTTGATCCTGCTATGTCCCCTTCCCTCTCTCCCTCCCTCTTCTGTCTTCCCTTTCTTATAACGTAGTGAAAAGGACACAGGACTTTTTTACAGCTGTGAACAAGTTGAGGCCTTGCCTACATCCCCGCCTTCCCTTGGTCTTATTCTCCTCACTGTAAAATAAGAATCTTAGAATAAGATACCCTGAGACCCCTTCTAGTTCTGAAATTCTATGTTCCTCTGCCACCTAGGGTTGAGGTCACTTCCAGTTTCTTCCTACTTCAGATAACTATGGCCCACCAGGTATGAACTTATTCATGGGATCTGTTGGAGCCCATAGAGCTGCATTTTTCCAAGAGCCTCA